TTGCACATGTTCCTGCTTATTAATATTTCTCTTGAATGTTTATCTTAAGTAAGCAACAGCAGCTTGTGTTATGTTTTTGTTTTTAAAGATTTATTTGTTTGTTGACAGGCAAAACATCAGAGAGAGAAGGAGAGACAGAGAAAGAGTGAAATTCTCCATCCTCTGGTTCACTTTCTATATGACCACAATGGTCAAGACTGGGCCAGGCAAAAGCCGGGGCCAGGAACTCCCTCCAGGCCACATGGATGACAGGGGACCAAGCACTTGCGCCATCATTGGATAGATTAGAAGTGGGGAAGCCAGAACTCCAACCAGCACTCTGGTAAGTGATTTTATTTTACATCTACTTGTCTCTCCACCCTCTGGGCTCCATTCTCCATATGTATGTTTTGAAATGCAAGAAAGTTCTAGAGAGATGACTAACTGTACTTTCGCATCTAATTCTTGGAGGTTGGGGTGGGGAGGTGATGAGAGGACTAACGTGTACTCCCCTAGGCTGTGTTCTTGTCTATCACACCTGCCTTGACGGGCTGGTGAGGATGTGGGGGAAACACCACAGTGTCCATGTCCATTCAAAAGCAGATTCCTCCTACCTAGAAATTCTCTGGGGGCCGACGCTGTGGCGTAGCAGGTAAAGCCACCGCCGCAGTGCTGTTATCCCATATGGGCACCAGTTTAAGTTCTGGCTGCTCCACTTCTGATCCGGCTCTCTGCTACGGTCTGGGAAAGCAGTGGAAGACGGCTCAAGTCCTTAGACCCCCTGCACCCGTGTGGGAGACCCGGAAGAAGTTCCTGGCTCCTGGCTTCGGATTGGCACAGCTCCAGCCATTGCAGCCAACTGGGGAGTGAACCAGTGGATGGAAGACCTCTCTCTGTGTGTGCCTCTCCTTCTCTCTGTGTAACTCTGACTTTCAAATAAATAAAGAAAATAAAGAAATTTTCTGGTCTATGACTCAGGCCCTTACTGATCTCAGGAAACAAATAAATATGCTCCATACCAGCAATACACTGCAGCTTCCTTGGGAACCCAGTTAGGCAGTCCTCAACAGACTACAAACAAGGAGATAAAGATTTCTAAAGCTCTGTAACATTTCCTTGCTGGAATTCTAAGTGGAATCATACTTACAGAAAACTTTTGGGAATACTATGTAAATCAGTGCGACATCTGCCAAGGCTTCAACCAGGGTTGATCACGTTACTTCACTCTCTGCTTCCATTAAGCTAATTTATGATCTCTGTGCTGATGGGAGAAACTTCATTGTCTCCATATGGTGAGACTTCCAGGACCGGGCTTTCGCCTACCTTTCCTGCTATACCCCAACCCATAGCTCTTGTATTGTGCATCAATTTTTTGCCTGTACTCATGTTTCCTTGGAAACAAGAAAGGGAAAGAAAAAGAAAATCAGTCTTTCTTTTCTCATTAATTTAAGAGCACAAAACTTTTATGATGTCATCTGCATCTTTGACATTTCTGTGAACAATCTTGAAAAATCTCTCTTCACACAACACAAAAGTTCAGTTTTATCATTTCTTGTGAAAATTTATAGAAATGAATTTATTTTGTTGATATTTTATCTAGCAACTTCTCTACTAAAGTAATTACAATCGTTTATTGCTAATTTCTTTTCAAAGTATATGCTCACAACACATACTGACATTTTCATTCATTTGTTTCTAATCTGTGAACATTTGATTTCCTTTTCTTGCCTTTAATTCAATGGCTAAGTCTGCCAATACAATATTGAACTAAAATAGTAATGGACTTATCCTTTCAAGGAATATCATTTTAAGGGGTAGTGATTTAATATTTCACTATTAAGTATGAAACTGGCTGTTGACTTGTGTTAGACACTCTTCTATTCTTGATTTGCTGTGAATTAAGATAGCAGTCAATGCTGAATTTTATCATACACATATGATGCATATATTGTGATGATTTTGTGATATTACTTATTTTGTTAAAATGGCATATTAATTGCTTAATTTATGAAGCCACAGCACTGGCCCCTGACTACAGATCTTGACACTTCTCAGTCTCTATATTCACATGAATCAGTTCTTTCTACTCTTCTCTCTCTCTGTCATCCCAACTTGATCTATCTAGAGAGGAGAAAGGGAAATCAGATAGAACACTATACTGTCTCTAAACTGAAACTCACTTCCCTGTGTATTTCCCAGAGTTTCCTAGAATTGCCATACCAAAGTGTGATGACTAGATGACTTAGAAAAACAGAAACTTTTTGGTCCACCATTCTGGAGGCCATAAGTCTAAAATCAAGGTATCAGCAGAGATATGTTCTCCCTGAAACCTATAGAGAAATATCTTTCCCCATCTCTTCCAGTTTCTTGTAGCCATAGGTGTTTCTTGACTTATGGCAGCAGTATTTTTTTTTTTTTTTTTTTTTTGACAGGCAGAGTGGATAGTGAGAGAGAGAGACAGAGAGAAAGGTCTTTCTTTTGCCATTGGTTCACCCTCCAATGGCCGCCATGGTTGGCACACTGCAGCCGGCGCACTGCGCTGATCCAAAGGCAGGAGCCAGGTGCGTCTCCTGGTCTCCCATGGGGTGCAGGGACCAAGCACTTGGGCCATCCTCCACTGCCTTCCTGGGCCACAGCAGAGAGCATGCAGTATCTGTTTTAACATGGTACCACCCCTGGTCTCTGTACCTTCACATCTCTGTCTTTCTATAAGTACCAGTCATTTTCAATTAGGGACCCACCCTACTCCAGTATGACCTCCTCTTAGCTACATTGGCAACGATCATATCTTCAAGTAAGATCACATTCTCCCATGCATGCTGGGGTTAGGATTTCAACAAATCATCAACACATCTGACCTTGTGCAAATTATTTTTCTTCCTGGGAATCCTGTTTATGTATCTAAACTGCTTTTTCTTGATCAGGCAAATGAGGCAATGGTGGAGACAAATTCATCTGTTTTTATTATCCTTCTCTGTACCATTCCATGAACTATTTGTAAAAGGCAGTAAAATGGACTTGAGCCCAAATTTTAAGGGCTGATCGCACTCATTAGGCACCTGATTTGAGATTCAGGCCTCAAAGAGTTATCTCTGAAGTCTAGTTTGATAAAATTGTATACATCACTTTGAATAGAAATATGTAATTTATGTACTAAAAAATCTTCCAGAAATAGTCCCAAAGTACTGACTCAGATTTGACCTACTATATATCAAGAATCAGCACTTAGGTAGATTTAGGGTGATGGAGACAGTTCTGTCTGAGACCCAGCATTTATGGAAGGAATGGTATATCTGGAAGTCTGGCTGATGTCAGTCAGGAAGGACCTTGGGTGCCCCACGGGAGACTTCCAAATTAAAAGGGTAAACATTCAGGAGAGATCAGAGCATTTTTAACACAAGTGATGTCAACAAAACTGAACCGCAGCAAAATCATGGAGGCAGCGTGTGGAGGAAGGATAGACTAGAAAAGATCTCGGATGGAAGGAGACAAATGGAGGCAAGTGAGCACAGTCAGATTCCAAGTGGAGATGGCTCTGTCAAACCTGACAGATGGAGCTGGGAAGGCTATGAAGGGAGGGGTCTCACACCAGGTTGGCCTGCTAGCTGGAACTACCACAGGGTCAGCTTGCAGCACAAGGACAGCTAACCACCTAAACAAGAACACTTACTCAACAAAACAGACTGATGACGTAGGACTCGTTTTACTAAGTAGCTGCAACCATCCGCTGATCAGAGCTCACCAGCTCTCCCTGACACCACCGGTGCCAATGCGCTTGCTTTCAACACACCACACTTAGCTTTTCTCTATCCCTAATAGAACTCCAACCTTTCTCTTGTTCCGTGGACTTACCAGTTCAGTGCACGTATTTCCTAGCCCACAATCCTTTTATTTGTGTATTCTCAATAAACAAAAGTTGCTTTATCAGAGATTTACTTGTATTTTTTTTGTTTGACAGGAATGAATGAAAAATTTCTAGGAGATAATAGGGAATCAATGTCTCCAGCTGAGGGTAGGTGCAGAGGAACTGTAGACCCGTGACACTTTCAGATGGACCAGGAACGCCAAGCATCAGCCTCGCTTCCTCCTGTTCACCGTGTGCTCCTGTACCTCCACTTCTCATTGCTGGAGAGTTCCAAGGTGCTCAAAAGCTTATTAGAAATGGGGGGGGGGCATCGAAAACCTAAGAAGTTCAAGTTTGCAGTAATTCTATGAATTGTAAAAGATCTCCTCACCTCTCAAGGTGAGCAAGTATAAGCTGTCTCAGACAGAACAGATCTACTCACAACAATGGGTGATGTATATGGACCAGAGCAAAGGCTCTGGAGTGGAAATTAGAAGTTTGCCTTCATTTCGCTACCTCTTACTAACCTGTGACTTTTGATATTGGGGATTTGCTCTCTCTCTCTCTCTCTCTCTCTCTCTCTCTCTCTCTTTCTGAGTACATTTCTAGTTGCTTCCCTGTGTCAGGGCCTAGACTTCATGCTTTATTGTCACATTTCACTTTCATAGCATCCTTACTAGGTAGATCATATTACGACCCTGATTGTGCAGGTGAGAAAACTAGAGAAACAGACATTGCCCTTCTCAGGGTCAAGGAGCTCGTCAGTGGCAGAGGCGGCTGCTGAACTCTGGCGTCTGCAGCCTCTGCCTCCAAGCTGTACCCATTCTTGTGCTGACATCAGCAGAAGGTGGAAGAGCCTGGGAGGGTGCGGCTCCCGACTCCAAGAGGGGAGCTTTCTGCATGACTTCCCTGAAAGCCTTGGGGACACTCGTGGCTGGATCAGGTATCAGCCCTGAAGCCACCACAGATTACAGGTTCTTCAGAAGAGCTCCCAAGTCTAAGATAAAGAAAAGCTTGTCTTCCAGAAGAGGTCACAGGAACTTAACCCCCCCCTCCCCCTCCCCCACACACTTCAGTTCCAAGTGGCAGAGAGGGCCTTTTGTGTGAACCTGTAAAGGCAGGGCAGAAGGGAAGTGCTGAATGACAAGGAGCTTAGAACTGGGGAGGAAGAACTTACCAGTTCGATGAACAAAGAGGTTTCACAAACCTGAGCCGGCCGTGAAAACCAGACAGACGGAAGCAGAATGGTAGAGGAGGTAGCCAGGGAAAACAACCCCACGCGTCCTCACACGTCCACGTATTTCCCAACAACTCTCTGGTTATGGTGCCAGTGTCACAGTAAACAGGTTTATGGACTAAGCAGGGGAGAGATGATTACAATTATTTACAGAGGAAGAAACTCGAGCCCAGGGAAGCTCCCTCGGCTCGTGGTTTAGTTTTCTGCTTAGTAACTCCACTGTGTGGCCCCGCATGCCTCCTTGGCACTGCTCCTGCCTTAGCAAACCCTTTTGCAGGGGACACATTGGCCAGCGAAGTGTCTGACACACTCAGTCTCCCACAGCTGGACTGCATAATGAGAAAGTCCAGCGCTGTATTGAAAGGACAAGGGATAAATGGTCACCGAGCCCGCCAGGCTCTGCTTCGGTGGTGGCGGTGGCGGTGGCGCTCTAGTTCCCGGATGTGGAGCCAGCACCTGAGAACTGCCAGTCACGTGCAGTGGGGAGGGGCAGCACCTCAGGTTCCAAAGAGGGAAGCCTCCACTTCACGTGCCAGAACCCGCACGGGTCCCACCTCCCGGATGCACTTAAGTGGGGCAGGGAGACAGAGAGAAAGATGGGTGGGTGTGGACGCCGCTCTGCGATTGGCTGTGCAACTTCAAACTGACCTCTGCCCGAGGCTCTAAAAGGCTGAAATTTCTGGGTTCCTCAGAGTCGCCCAGTCCTAGCAGGAGCCATGATCCCGCAGTTCTGGGCCTCCTGTCTTTTCCTGCTGTTCCTGGTCAGCTTTGCTCAGGAAACCCCGGAGCCGCAAAAGATGAAGGTGAGAACCCCCCGCAGAGGGTCTGGGAGGATGTCCGTGTGTGATGACTGACTTGGCCGCCAGAGAGGCCCAAGGGCCTCTCCTCTCCTCGTCCCCAAGACAAGATGCATCTTCCCAGCCCGCGCAAACTTCTGCCACTGCTGTGCCCCGCGGCAGAGACCCATCTTCCAGACTCCACTGCTTTCCTGCAACTTCAACTCAGCGCCCAGTTCTTTGAGCCAAACGGGGGATGGGGGGGGGGGGTGGAGGAAGGATGCGCTTGGAGCATTCCCTTTTGCCATTTTTTCTTGGTGGCCTCTTGATCGCTCTGAGCCTGTCCCCTCTACTCTGGTCTGGAATCGGGACAGCCCTGTGGGTCCCAGTAAATGAAGCATCAGGCCCCACATGGGATTAGAAGGAGGCTGACTGATTGCTGAGAGGCTGCCCGGCCAGAAACAGGGAGAGGGTGGAGAAGATGGTGTTGGAATATGTGCTGTAGGGGTCCCAGGGTCAGGGAAGAGGGAGCTCTTTCCGGGAATAATAAAACACCCTGCCCCAGGAAAGCTGTTCACCACTATTAATTCGGAGAAGCGATATGGTGACGTGGAGACGAAACTCAGCTCAGAGTAAGAGGATTTGTTCCCAGATCCTGATGCTGCTCCACATCGCCTGATGCTGTTCAGAAAATTCCCCACACTGATATAAGTCGTCAACCCTGTAATAGATGTGTGTGCTGTCTAAGGTGCAGACTAGGGAGGGAGGGGATGACTTCAGGCACCAACAAACTTTAACGTTAATATCAGAAAAAAGGCATTAAAGGGGCTGGAGTTGTGGTATGATGAGTTAAGCCACTGCTGGCATCCCAAATGAGCACTGGTTCAAGTCCCGGCTGTGCCACTTCCCATCCAGTTTCCTGCTAACGTACCTGGGAAAGCAGCAGAAGATGGCCCAAGTGCTTAGGCCCCTGCCACCCACGTGGGAGGCCGAGATAAAACTCCTTGCCACCCATGTGGGAGACCTAGTTAAAACTCCCTGCTTTGGCCCAGCTCAGTCCCAGCCATTGAGTGAACCAGCAGATAGAAGATTTGCTTCCTCTCTGTGTCTCTCCCTGTCTTTGTAACTTTGTCAGAGTTAGAGTTAGAGTTAGAGAGAGAGAGAGAGAGAGAGAGAGAGAGGTCTTTCATCCTCTGGTTCACTCCTCAATTGGCCGCAATGGCCGGAGCTGAGCCAATCCGAAGCCAGGAGCCAGGAGCTTCCTCTGGGTCTTCCCACACGGGTCTGGAGACCCAAGGACCTGGGCCATCTTCCACTGCTTTTCCAGGCCATAGCAAAGAGCTGGATTGAAAGTGGAGCAGCTGGGACTTGTACCAGTGCCCATGTGGGATGGCGGCACTGCAGGTACCTGCTACGTCACAGAGCTGGCCCCAAAAATAAATCGTAAGAAAGGAAGAAAGAAAAAAGTGCAAAAGCTCAGCCTCACTTGTGGCCTTACACAGTTACATATCTTTGGTTGGCTCCTTTCTCTTCTCTGTGAAATGTGGAGAACAACACTCATCATACCAGAGATCTTCAAAAAGTTCCTGGTAAGTGAAATGAAAAGATGTTTATTTTGGTCCAAAATTTTAGAGTATTAAGAGTCTTTTTCCTAATAGTCATCTTTCGTGAGCTTTTTGAAGATCCCTCATACCTGGTGAAGTGATTCTCAGAGCTGAGCTCACATAAGCATCCCCTGGGAAGCTGGGTGACGCACAGGCACGCAGAGTTCCTCCTTCTTGAGGTCTAAGGAGGAGCGCAGGAATTTACATACCTAAAATGCTCCCAGGAGATATTTGTGCAGGTCTTCAAATCTTAGTTTGGGGTTCATGGGAAGTGGAAGAAGATGCATAAGAAACGCTCAAAGACACAGCTGCAGTAAAATCGGAGCAGGCTTACTTTCCAAGATCACAGCCTACTTGAACGGGAAACCTCTGCGAGCATCCAGGTCTCTGTAAACCACTCCTTCGGGCTTGAGCGTGGACTTCTTAGAATAGAAAATCATCTTAAGACTGCAAAGCTGTGCTCCATGCTACCCTCCCCTTTTCTAACGAACTTAAGCAAACAGAGGCAAAACTGAAAGCTGGAGCAGAAGGACTGAGCTCTTCAACCCTGCAGGAGTCCTGGGATCCCACGCCCCAGTTCATAGGGTGATGTTAATATGAGAAACAAAATTTGGACGTTGTTGAGCAAGAGGTAAGGTAACACGAAGGCAAGCAAATGGATGTATATGAATGGCAGTTCATAAGGTGATTTCCATGTGACTTTTCATTACGATAGCAGAAAAGGCCAAGGCTAGACACTATTGAGCACAGAGGTAAGGGGACATGAAGGCAAACAGACATGAAGGTACATGGATGACAACCCGTCACAGTGCATCTAAGCTAATGGTCCTAAATAGCTAAACTAATGATCCCAACTATTTGGATTAATGTATATGGTTGCCTCTCCTTTCCAAGGAGGATTGGCTTCAGAACTCCCCAAGGATACCAAAATCCATGGATTCTCAAGTCTCATATGAAGTGGCACAATATTTGCACATAACCTACACATATATATTCTAAATAGTCTCTCTAATACCTTATACAGTGTAAATGCTTTGCAAATATTTGCTTTTAAATATCGATTTCATCTATTTGAAAGGCAGTGAAAGAGAGAGAGACAGAAAGAGAAAGAGAAGAGAGAGGATCTTGCATCTGCTGGTCTACTCCAAAAATACTCACAACAGCCACAGCTGGATCAGACCAAAGCAGGAGTCTGGATCTTCCTCCAGGTCTCCAACATGGATGGTAGGGTTTCAAGTGCTTGTGTCATCATTCTCTGCCTCCCAGAATGCATTAGCAAGAAGCCAGATTGAAAAGGAAGTAGCCAGGACTAGAACTACACTCTGATATAGGAAGCTGGAGTCCTAAGTGGAAGCTTAACCCATTGTGCCACAACCCCAGCCCGATTTTATGTAAATAGTTGGTATACTGTATTGTTTAGGGAAAATGATAACAAAAAAATCTGTCCATGTTCAGTACAGATTAATTTTTTGAATATTTTTTATCTATAGTTGATTGAATCCATGGATGCAGAACCCATGGGTATGGGCACAGATGTTTGGACACATAGGGAGGGGGCCTGCTCGAACTCAAACTTCCCTCTCTGCAAAGATAATGCAGTAGAGGCTATTGCTTCTGGTGTCTGGCAAGAGACCTTGTAGACTTAGAGGATGATAAAGACCTTCCTGTCCCACTGCTCCCACCCGGGCTCACCCACAGCCAATTTTTTCTTTGTGTGAGGCAGGTCTTTATGAATTGAGGTCCCTTGATGCTCCATTGAAAAATTCTATGACTTTGCTCCACATAGCTAAGAAAATGACCTCTTTAGATGATAATACCTTTACTTCCTGTCCCAAGTCTTGCCTGCTTTTTTCTCTTGGTATGCTTTTAGGTAGAAAAGTTTTCCTCTGTGCCTTTAATTTTATAGTCCCTAATTCATAAGCAGTATAGGATGGTTCTCCACAATATAAAGCTGAGAAGAAGGGGTATTGAGGATTAGTGTGGAGGTAGCAGGGAGCACCCCATTGGCAAAGCCTGGAGAAGCCCTTCAATGGGGTCTAAATGCAGAGCAAGTTGTAGGTCCTGATTTGGAGGTGTGGTGGGGTGGAGGAATACAATTTAAGAAGATACATGTGAGGAATTCATGCAAAAGTTCTTTATGTTATGAGAAATTCTGCAAAGATCTGTTAAGAATCCTTGAGAAGGATAGTATGTCTGGAATAGGGAGTAAGGATGTGGAAGAAAGTGCAAGCAAGGTTGGAGAATAGGGGTAAATTATAGTAATACTCCACGGATTGGTAGAGTACTGTGAAGTGCTTGCTCTGCCGCACACAGAACAATGGATTGTAAAGTTTAGAAAATAATTCATAGGGGGTAATTCCTCTGCCTGCAGTGCCAGTATCCCATATGGACACCAGTTCAAGTCCTGGCTGCTCCACTTCCGATCTAGCTCTCTGCTAAGGCCTGAGAAAGCAGTTGAAGATGGCCTGAGTCTGTGGGCACCTGCACCCACATGGGAGACCCGGAAGGGACTTCTGGCTCATGGCTTTGGACCGGCGAAGCTTTGGCTGTTGCAGCCATCTGGGGAGTGAACCAGCGGATGGAAGACCTCTCTGTCTCTCTCTGTCTCTCTCTCTCTGCCTCTCAAATAAATAAATCTTAAAAAAAATAATTTTAGTGTGGCATCAGATCTAATTAAAATTTTTACTTGAAAAAGCCTCTTTAATTCTTAGGATTTCAAGGTATTACATGGGTGTTTTGAAAAATTCACACATGTCAGGAAATATTATTTACCTTTTCACATCATTGCAGTTATTTTTGTTACATTTCAGATGGATTGCAACAAAGAGGTGTCAGGTACCATCTATGAGTACGGAGCCCGCACCCTCAATGGTGAAGAAGACATCCAGTTCCAGCAGTATGCCGGGAAGTACGTGCTCTTTGTCAACGTGGCCACCTACTGCGCCAACACAGCTCAGTATCCTGGTAAGAACTCCTGTTTCAACTCTTTTGCAACTAGCTCTGCTAGATAGCCAGAGTCTAACTCCAGAAGGTGTTACCAATGTGTTAGTGGGAGGTGGGGAGGCGGAGGGG